GCCAACTAAGGTCCGCAGGCCAGTTCCTGCCTGCGGCCTGTTTTCTCGGCAGTTTTACTGGGACACAGCCATGGCCATTTGTTTCCACACTGGACAGCGGCTGTGGTGTCACAACGACAGAAGGTGGCCCACGAAGCCTAAAATACTTACTATTTGGCCCGTTACAGAAAATGTCTGTCAATCTCTGGTCTAAAGTAATGGCTGGAAGATTAGCCTCGACGGTGACAGCCATCATCCTCCTCACCTCCGCATCATCGTGACCGTCACACACGGGGCAGCACAGTCAGGAAGAGCAGAAACTCGGCCACCGGGCCGGCCTTGTCTCTCGTCAGGGTTCTGCCACCCCCGCTGCGTGCCCCGCAGAGACCTGGTGACCGCTGTGCACTCGGCTTCTCCACACGGACCACAAGGGTAAGAATGGCCCAGGGCTCCCCAGCGTGGCAATGTTGTGTGGGGCCGGATCATTCTTTGTTGTGCAGGTGGTCCTGTGTGTGGCGGGATGTTTAGAAGCGTCCTTGGCCTCTCCTCATGGAGGTGGTAGCAACTCCCTCCCAGCTGTGACAACTAAAAATATGTCCAGACACTGCCCAATGTCCCCCAGGAGGAACAACAGCCCCGGCGGAGAATCCCCAGGCCAGCCTATCGAAGGACTCGGGGGATGAAGCAGAGAACGCGGGCAGAGCACCCCGCACAAGCCCTGTCCCAGGGGCCCCTCATCGATGGTACTGGGGGTTCTGGAGCCTTAACAAGAACCCAGTGCCACTAGAGGCACCCACTCGCATTTTCATCCCTTAATTAGGGGACAGGGCAAATGTACATTCATCCAGTTTCCCTGGTGCTTCCCGGGGAAATCCACGTGGGTCAAATGAGTGAGCCAGGGCCAGCTGGGAACTAACCACCTCCACTGATAACCGTGTCCGTGGGAAAGGCACAGCCTAGAGACTGACTCCAAACCCAACTCAGACGACCCTGGCACACGTTCCATTGTGAAATGAGCCCAGTTGTACACATGGGACACATGAACATCTGAATCCCTCCGAGAAAAGAGCCCTTTTGTCAGAGAGGGAGAATGGTATTTGCAGGAGTCAAGGAACAGATCTGGAAAACACCAGTTAAGTCATTCACCGTTGGCTGAACAAAGAAGGACCACTCCACATGTTCCACCCTCCTGAGAGAGAAAGCAGGACTAAGTTCACCGTGAACTGTGAACCCAGAAAACCAACGCTCTCCAGAGAAGCGTGCTCCATATCTGGCCTGTGTCCACACGAAAATAACCCATGTTCCCGTCTACTGCACAGGGCTGCACAGGGTTCAGACCACTCTCAGCTCTTCTGTGCCGCTGAAAGACATGACGGCAAAAGCCATGAGGAGAGCCAGGCCCAAGTGAGGAGCCAAATCATCACCACGTGACAGCTTGGTTCGAGGCCTGGGATTCATCTGTCACGCACTCCGCAGGGGCTGAGACAACAAGACCCGGTAGGCCAGAGTTCCCTGCCCCAGGGGGCCCTAGGGGACGCCTGCTGTCTGTGGCAGCCCAGCACCTCCTCCCGTCTACTGGTAGCAGCACGACCAGTTTGTGTGGGGAAACCGTGATCTGCCCACCCCGATGTGAGAGGCACCAGGGGTTGGCACGTGTGGCAGGGTCTGGCCAGTCTACTGAGTCCTCCCCCAGTGGCCACTGGGACTCCCTCCCAGTCTTCAGCTGGGGCTGCTAGCATGGAAGCCTGAAGCTGGGGTGCTTCTCTGCCCCTACACGTGAGGAGCCCCTGAGAACAAAGCCAAGATAGGAAAGGCCGGAGGAGACAGGCAGGGAGAGAGCATCCCACGGCCCCACGTAAGCGCCCGTACCAGCCAGACCTGCAGCCGCCTCTCCTAGAGCAGCCTGTCACATGAGTCAGTGAACTCTGCTGAACGATGCTGTCATCATTTTCAGATGGGTTTCTGGCGGTCATAACGAAAAGAGGCTTAACAAGTGAGACGCGTATGCGAAGAGCAAGACGCGAGCAGCTGGCAGGGCTACGATGTCGATGTACCCCGACGCGGAGGGCGCCCAGAAGGAGGGGTGGGCGAGTCCTCTTCAAGCTAGGCTGGAACCTGGTCACATAAAGGGAGGTGACCGATCTGTCACAGAGCTGGGTCTTCTAGGGACACAGACCCACACATCCCGGGCACCCAGGAATCGGTCACGTTCCAAGAAGCCTTGCCGTCTGTGGCCACTTCCCAGCCAAGAGTCAAGTGCTCCGAGGCCAGGGCCACAGCCTGTGTTCTGTTTCTTAAGAGATGTTGCCAGCATGAAAAATACCATCTCTGAGGATGCGAGGCAGCCAGGCCTTGCTACCGAGCTTGGGGGAGAATTTTCTCTACATTTAGCTCTAAGATACTTGAAACCATCATTGAGTCTGTTTTAGAATTAGCTGCTTTAATAAACAATCTTTACCTGAAAGGCCAAGGGATACCAACAACCTAGAAACACCTTTGGCTGAGAGTATTTACTTAGTCATCATAGTAGTAACACAACAAAACCTACACTGGCAGACGTCAGAGATGCTGCTGGCTCCATTCCAGACCAGCACAGTAAAGCAATACCACGACAAAGCAAGTCACATGAGTTTTTTGGTTTCTCAGTGCATGTAAAAGTTATGTTCACACTATGTTGTAGTCTATTAAGTGTGCAACACCATTGTGTCGAACAAAATCAATGTGCATACCTTAATTAAAAAATATTTGATTGCTACAGAATGCTACTCATCACCTGAGCCTTAAGCGAGTCATAATCTTCTTACAACAAACAAGTAACATCAAAGATCACAGATCACAGATCACTGTAACAAATATAATAATGATGATGAAAAAGTTCGAAATACTGTGATTATTATCAAAATGTGACACAGAGGTGGGTAGTGAGCAAACGCTGCTGGAAAAGTGGTGCCGACAGACTTGCTTGATGCCGGGTTGTCACCAACCTTCCATTTGTAAAAACACAGTATCGGTAAAGCACAATAAAATGAGGTATGACTGTAGCTGTAACAGAAGGATGGCTAACGTCACTCAGCGGTACTCTGCGGGAGGCATGGGCCAAATGCTTCACGTGCAGATTCTCACTACACCTTTCCAGCACCCTAAGAGAGGTACGTGTGTCTCCATTTCCCAGGTGAGGAGACCGGGGCTCAGGGAAGCAGGATGTGCTCCAGGGCACAAAGCGGGCAGCAGCTTTAGGGCTTCGGAAAGCCTGGCCAGTCTGAGTCCACGCAGCTGCTCTTGCCGCCCTGACATTGTCTGGATGCAACACCGTCTGAATATGGTCCCTGAATCGGGTGAGCTCCATAGGAAGGTCCTGTAGAACTCGAGAGTCTCATGACCCACGTCAGTGGCATGAAGGGCCTTGCCCACCTGGCACTGGGTAGCCTGTTGCTTGGACCTAATCCAAAACGGCCACCTCACTGGAGCGAACCCAGCACGTGGCCCAATTTAGGGCCCTCCTCCCCTTCCCCCCTGCACCCATCAGCGCTCTGCATTCCCTGATTTCTGTACACTGTCTCTCGTTCACATGCTCTGTTTTAATGTGCCCAGAGAGTCTATCTGTTATGGGCTGAACTGTGTTCCCACCAAATTCATATACTGAAATCCTAACCCCCAGTACTTTAGAATGTGACTGTATGTGGAGACAGGGTCTTTAAAGCAGTAATTAAGGTAAAAAGAGGTCACTGGGGTGGGCCCTAGGCCAATATGACTGAGTCCTTAGAAGAGATCAGGACACAGACTTGTGCAAAGGGAGGACCACGTGGAGAAGATGGCCGTCTACAAGCCAAGGAGAGGGGCCTCAGAGGAAACCGACGCTGCTGACACCTTGGTCTGACTTCCCAGCCTCTAGAGTCAGTAGAAAATGAACACGTATCTTCTAAGGCTGTGGTATTTGGTCGTGGTGGCCTGAGCCAACAAATACACCATCCAAACTCCTCAGGTTAGAGAAGCTCCCTTCCTGCTGCAAAGGCTGAGGGCTCAGAAGCTTAACAAGACCCCAAACATCTACAGAGAGAGCTGTGCGGGGCTCGTTACAGCGTCAACGCTGACCCACGTGGAAGACGTGAAACCCCGCGCCCACGGCACCGCCCTTCCAGCTTCCTCACACAGCAGCCCAGAGCTCCAGCAGCCGGCAGGAAGCCTCGGGTGTTTCTCTCCCCTCTTAACAGCTGCCTCCATCCCCAGCACTCCAGGCATTTCCAGGTATCTCTGACAATGCCCACAGTGGTAAAAGGAACATGCCCAGCAAAACGGGGCCGCCTCCACTGAGCCCGGCCGTCAGGCACAGACACCGCACATGCCCCACCTTCCTTCCAGCCCCTGCGCCACGGGCACTGTCGCGCTGAGAGACTAGGTACCAGTATTATCCCCGTTTTACTCCAGGAACCCTACAGTGTTTGTCCAGGATTGCAGACTCAGGAGTGACCTGGATTCAAACACAGGGCAGCTGACTCCAGGTTCCACCTGGGGTTGGCCAACTCCAGCCCTGTTGCCTGTTTTTGTACATCAAGTCTTACTGGAACACAGCCCTGCCCTTTCGTTTCTGTGTTGTCCGCACAGTTAAGTAGATGCAGCAGAGATGCCACGTGGCCATAAAGCCGAACTTACTATCTGGCCCTTCACAGAGAGTTTGCCGACCCTGCTACAGGCTCTTGACCTCACCCCACGCCCACCCTATTAGACCCTTCCGGGACTCTCCCCAACCCTGACTGCCCCTCACACCCTAACAGAAGAAAAGAAGAAAAAGAAAGAGAGAGGGGGGGAGGGGGGAGAGAGACAAAAATTGTATTTAAATATAATCCTACTGAGAAAATAAAGCGCAAACCGAATTCTCTGCAGGTTCTTTTGTTCTCAGGAATTGCCGAGATGTCAACCTCACACAAGATAATAAATAAGAGCCAGCAAAGTGCTTCCCAAATATTTAATTAATGCATTTTATCTGCTTCGCCACCTGGGAACAATGGGCCACAGGTTGGAAGATCAAATCTAAACCTCAACGTTGAATTTTTGATTTTATAAAGTCCTTGTCACTACCTCAATATTACTCACATATGGCTTTTTTTCCCCTGTTATTATTAATTAGATTTTTCCTAACGGTTAGTATCACAATTAACCTTTAAAGGAATGCTGCTAGCACGCATTCGATTGACTTGCACAAAGCAAATCTTTCCCAAGTCACCTCGTGCTGGCTTTCCATTGCTTCTGCTTTTGGCAGATTTCCTTGTCAAATTAAAATCTGCTCCGATACCATGCAAACAGACGCCTGTGACCTGCTAACAATGCGGCCCTTCTGACAGATGCCTTTCAAGAGGAGCCGACTGGAATGGCGACAGTCAAAACGTGGGCATTTTAGATTTTGATTCTCTTCTCCCATTAGGAAGAAGCCTCAGAACTGCAGAAATGAGCTAAAAGTGCTAGTGAGGGCAAAATTTTGCAGAGGAAAATCAGTTTAAACTTCAGCATAATCACACGGTTTCCGTGCCTCTCACAAGGCGGTCGCTCTGCAACATCGCTGTAACAGACCCACCGTTACGGATGGTTACATAAAGGGCCAGAGAGAGAGAAAGAGCCTTTGGGGTGAAGTCGCTCAGAGCTTGTGTCCTGGTTGAAACTTCGCTTTTGTCGTTTCTGCTGCTCTAATTTCCCTCGATATCTTTCATTACCTGATGGAGTTATTGGGGCTGTAAAAACGGATGTCTGGGTGGCTTGGGAGGTTTCAGGATTTTCCCAGAGAGATGGACTGCTGGATTAGGACGATCGTTTGTCAGCTCCGAGCTGTGCTGCTGGCACTGCTTACCATCCAAGGAGCTATGAATGAGCGAACAACCAAGACTTAAGCTTCAAGGTCAACGGCGTAGAGGCAAAAGTGGTGGATGGAACTAACAAACAGATGGGCTCAGGCCACGGATTACAAGTAAGTTTTGCTCACCCCGTGTAACTTACAGAAGGAAAGCATTAGCCAGGAGCCAACATTTAAAGGCCAGAAGCATTCCCCCCAGGGCACGAATCAGCTGGCGCTGACCAAGGGCCATCCTCTTTGGACACTCCTGTCTTCCTCACAGTCCTCCCGTGACCCCTATCCCTCACGAATGCCCCCGGCCTGGACCTCGCTGGCATCTGTGTTGGTGAGGCCTGTCTTCACAGCATCCAGGGACCAGTTGGTGATGAGCTGCTCTGTTTTCTGAGGCTCCAAGGATACGGTCCTCAGTGGAAACTAAAGGGACCGCCCCCCCAGAGCTCAAGGAATGCTGAGAAAGGGGACTGACTCATGAAACAATACAGGACAGCTCAAATAACAAACCACTGATGATAAAAGCTTACATCTATCAACTACATGTTATGTGTGAAGAGATCTGAAAATATAATTCCATCTAATCCCAGCCACCCTTCAAGGTAGACCCATATTACAGTGTAGAGGCTGAGGCACAGGAGTGAAGGGATAAAGTCAGTACTCAAACTCATGTCCATCCTTCCTGAGAGCCCAACCACCTGACTGGTGTTTCCCCAAGCAAGGAATTCGGAACCCAGGATCGTTTTCTGTGGTGCCTGGACACCAGAGAGAGCATTGCTGAGTCCTAAAGACCAAGCTCTTCCCTTTGCACAGTCTCAGTCTCTTCTGAGATTCAGTCTGGTGCTCAGCTGGCTGCCTCTGCTCTAACCTTTGCTCATCTCCCTTTCTGCCTCTGGGTGGGTGACAGTATCTGGCCAGAAACTAACAGCTGTTTTGTATTCACTGCGGTACTTTCACAGTTATTTTCTCCCGATGGCAAATGATACTGGCTTTCTTTATAAATAAATTTACCTTGGGCAAAAAATGAGAGCCAATTTAAAGAAAATATCAAATCAGTACTGGTGGGCAGACACAGCATAAGTCACGGCAGCAGAACAGGAATGACTCGACCTAAGGAGATGGCGTGAAGATGCAGTGGCAAGGGGATGACTCAGCCTTGGGTAACAGCCTTACACCGGAGGTCGTCAGAGCAGGGCACTCAAGACAGTCCCCTGGGACTGAAAGAAATGTTAGAACTCCACAATTTAGCTCTATTTTTACCTGTCATCTGTGAAGGTTTTTGGTTTCTGCTTTGTTTGTTACAAATAATCTAACCATGTATACTGCAAACAAAAGATGCATACTGCAGATTCTCTTCATCAATTGGGACATTCGATCAAAGAACACAGTCCACCCCAGCACTAGACTCCCTGCACTTTCCCTCGGGGCAGAATCCCACGAGGTCTGCAGTGGTCACCTACTGTCCACGCTGGGGCCATTCCCTGCCTTTCTTGTGATGACCTCTGATTTCCACCAAGGACCCCATGTAATTCTGGGCAAGAGGCTCCTCACCTCGCCCCAGGGTGGAACATACAATAAGGTTAAGCCAATCGGGGACTCTTCACCTGCTGCCACCACCAGCATGACTGGGCCATGGGGTGCACCTCGGGTCCTCTGCTGGGAATGCTGGGACAAACAAGTGTCCTCTGTGTCTGCCTCGTCTGCTTATTCACTAATCAATCAATATTTCATTGAATAGAAGAATGGTTTTTCTATCAATAAGTTGGCCTTGGAGCCACCGATTTTCCTCATTGTTGGACCGTGGCCATGTCTACTGCGTCAGGGTTGGTTACTGAAAGGCAGCGGCCATATTGGAGGGCAAACCTGCCACCAACAAACTAATTATGCCCAAGCACTCCTTGCCATCCAGGAAACTTCCAAGAGAAAGAATGTTTGTCCTCCCTTCTTCCTGTTTAAATGCCTTGATAGTTCACAAAGTAAGCAACAACACTACCCCACAGGGCTGTTACAGGCAACTGAGCTAACAGGTGCCAAGAGCAGAGCAGACACCTCATGTGGCTACTGCCGGTACCATTTCCTCTCCTCCTGGGGTATCAGTTTTCTCATCTGTAAAATGGGTGTACTCAATCACTACCTCGCTCAGTTCCTGGGATGAGTCACTGCAGCATCACAGATAAACTGTCGCTCATACTCTCAAAACAGCAGCTGTCAACAAAAGACAGCTGGAAACATTGTCGTTACTTTTAACAAGGGTCCTTCTGCAGTGGTGGGATGGGAGCGCAAAACTTTTAAGCTTCCGTGACTATACACATCCTTAGAAATGAGGTTCTAACTGCTAGATCCCACACTCCTGTCTAAGAAAGAACACAAATAAAGCTGCACGGTCCTGCCTTCCTAACTCAATCCTCTCTGCACCAGAAGCAGCTCTCCTCCCTCCAGGCAGGGTCTGTATCCAAGACACACGAGGATCTCCCACCTGAGGCGGAAAGCCTCGTTCTCCACCTGCTATTCCCATCCACCTCGAGCAGATGACACACCTGTTATTGGGCAAAACATGGTGCCCACGGGGCCTCTGCCAGCCCCAGAGCAATGTGGTAGGATATACGGTTTGCTAAAGGTTTTGCTCCATTATAATTCATAAACCACTCAAGAACTATTCAGAAGACAGAGGAACATAGTGTTCCAGGCCTTCTAGTGTGAGATGGAGTGATGCCATAGGTGCTGGACACCTCGCTGTCAGAGAAAAACTACATTTCCCAGCATCCCTTGCAGCTCAGCATGGCCACGAGACTAAGTTCTGCCAAGAGGACTATGAATATGTGATGTGGACAACTTCTGGGTCATACAGCCAAGGTGCTGGCTCTCCCATCTCTTTCTCCCTTCCTGCAGGCCAGCAAAGCAACAAGACAGAAGGAACCTGGGTCCCAGGTCTCTAAATACTCTCACAAAGAAGAGCTGCCTACTTGCCTGACCACTTCCCTGCTCAGACTTTCATGTAGGAGAGAAGTAACTTCATCTCATTTAACCCACTGATCATCTGTCTCTGTTAAGCTGAACGAACACCCTCATTTTAACAAGCCCCAGCAATGCTGCCCACCTGTTCTAGGTGCCAGAGACACAGCAGTGGCAGCCACTCTCTGCTCCATGGAGCTCACATCCCAACTGCAGGCAGGCAACAAACAAGGACACAAGAAATTCAGACTATGCGGTTCTGAAGGAAGGACAATGGAGGGTTTGAGACTAATCTCCGTGAGCATGCAATCAGAAACACCTCTCTAGGAAGTGAGAGTTCAAGGTTTGAAGGCTGAAGAGCCACCGGCTCTGGGAAGAACATTCTAGGCAGAGAGAACGGCGAGTATAGGGGCTTTGGGAAGAAATGCAAGGAGGCCAGTGCAGGGCAGTCAGTGAGCAAAGGGGAAAACAAAACTGGAAATGAGGATGGAGGAAGGCACCTACCCCAGCCCAAGTAGTCCAGGAGGGCTGCCGGGAGGAAACAACACCTGGGCAAGATTTTAAACAGTATCTGCGAGTGGGAGGGTGGGATTCCAGGAGAAGCTCAGGAGGCTTCCCCAGAGCCTTCAGGTCCTGTCTGTCGCCTTTGTGATGGAACCTGGTGGAGGACCCCTTGACACGTGTCCAGCAACCTCTGGGAGAAGCAGCACTGAAGGGTTGGAAAGAAAAGCTCCTGGTTCAGGGGGGTTTCAGAAAGCCGGAAAGCAACTCCTCAGAGTGCCTGACAGGGTTTCAAACAAAGAGCTTGATTTTTCAGCGATGCATCCTTGCTCTGTGGAGCTGATTATAAATGATCAGCGTGGTTTATAACTTTTTAAAGGAAGCCTTATTTACTTTCCCCTCACTACAATTTATAAGTAGGTGATGGTCCTCCCAGGGAAGCCTCATCTCATTATACGCCTCCTTCCCTCCTTCCACAGCGGTTATTTAAGAAACAACGAACTTCCCCTATGGCGGACGCGCTGCTCACTACAGCTGTTCTTCCCTGAATGGGTGGATTTAAGTCTCTCCCGCGGTGGGGCCCTGCTCCTAAGCCTGCCAGAATGCCCTGGGCAGTTCTGGCCTTGCTCATAATTTTTTTAAAGCAACTTTACTGAGGTATAATTGACATAGAATAAGCTGCACATATTCAAGGTGTGTAATTTGTACGTTTTGATAGATGTTTACACGCATGAAACCATCACCACAATCAAGCCAGTGAACATATCCATTCCCCAAGGCCCTCTGCTAATCCCCTCTTCCTGCCCTCCCCAGCCCATCCCCATACAGCCACTGATCTGCTTCCTGTCTCTGTAGGTGATTCTGCATTTTCTAGAAGTTTATGTAAACAGAATCATCCAGTATAATATTCACTTCTGGTCTGAATTTATTCACTCAGCATAATTACCGGGAGGTTCATCCATCCACTGCCTTTTCTAAGGGAAATTGCCAGTTTCTCCAAACCACGCCACACTTCCAGCCAGGTGGTAACTGACAGTGATTTCAAGCTCTGAGTTGGCCCGGCCTCATCGTCACTCCCAGGGCGAGAGCTGCGAAGTGAGGACAACGCCCCCACCTCCGGGGTCCTCGTGAGCGGTCCTTCATTCACACACGCCTGTGAGGGACCTACTGTGTGTTGGGCTAACACGGGGAACAAAGCAATCTCTGCTCTCATAGAGCGGACGAGCTCGCTGACAAAGGCAGGTAGGACACACGTTAGTGCAGGTGCTGGGAAGAAAATAAAGGAGTTGGAGGGAGGGGAGGCGCAGAGCACCATGCGAGGAGGCAGCGGACTTGGGAGATGAGGATCAGGGAGGAGGGACTTCCTGAGGGGCAGACACCTGGGCAGAGAGCATGTAACGCCTTCAGGGCAGTGAACACTGGCAGGCTGCAGGCTGCTGTTCTGTGATCAGCTGCAGGCGCGGGCAGGGCTGTGGGGAACGGCTAGTTAGATGTGTATCTGTGCATGTCCCCATTCGAGCACCTTGGGGGCAGGATGAGTCCGCTCAGTGGCTAACACAGCACTCTGTCTACACCGAAGGTCTTGTGAGCTGGACCCAACTCCAGCAGACCCAGAACTCTCAGGAGGAACCCACCACTTCGCTCCCCTCTCTTGGGTAGCGGGGCTTCCGAGACCAAAATCACTCCCAGCCACCCCTGTCGGGTAATCTTATCTTACAGTGGTTTCTGCTGATGCTGATGCCCCATGGAGAGACAAGCTTTCTATCACAGCGAGGCTGCCTTTTCAGTAGTCCCCACCATAACCACTCATATTTGTCCCATTATCCCCAGCCAACCGTGACCCGCATGTCCGTGACTCACTCTTCTCTCCTCCCCACGCAGCAGGCTGGCGGTCTTCTAATGTCCCCAGACATAATCGACAGCTTACATAACCACACCTGTGATCGCCGTACCTCAGCGCTCCTGCTCATTACATAAAAATATCCTTGTGTGTTGCCAAGACTCTCCAGCTGAGAAACTGATAGAACTGTCTTTAATTTGTACCCGTCTAGGAACATCATTTATGTGTAAATAGCGATAGTGAATATTACACATGCATTGCGGCCATCGGCCTTGTACGTACCGAGTCGAGGGTTTCTTTCTCTTCTGTTCACTGTTCATCCCTGGCACCCAGGCATGTCGTAGGTACTTGGTAAGAATTTGTAGAGCAAGTCAACACATATAATTACAGATGACGACAGTTGAGGACAGTATCTGTCGGGGGCCGGTGTGGTGCTGCACCCCAGCAGCCACCTAGCGATCTGAATCAAATCTGGGACCGCCCCAGGACCCGTGGGAAAATGGTCACAGTACTGAACAGTCAATATAGACAAAGCAGAGGCTGCAGGTCCCTGAAGCTGCCAGGAGAGGAGACCAGGTGGAGGGCCAGCTGGTGGGGGACAGAGGGACAGCAGGCATTTGCCGGCCAAGGGTCAGCAAGGTGTCACCTATGCTGCCGGCTGTGAAATACACTCAGAGCAGGGTGGGTAATGGGCCAAGGGTCCCGAGGGTCAAGGTCACTGTGGAGGTAAAAGACGACACGGGGAGTTGGTGGCAGCACTTTGACGACAGGTGGGGGCAAATTTCATCATTTTAATGACCAGCCCAGCCGCATCAGTGTGAAATCCAAGCCCTGACAGAAGGAAGCCGCGCACTGGCCTCTGTGCAGACAGCCGCTCCAGGGTGCGACACACACGAGACCGCTCAGGAGCCCGAGTGGCCCCCACAGATTCTACACTGACGGCTTCCTGCCTCTTCTTGGCCTAGACGTGCCTTCAGCAAATGTTTACAGAGGCTAAGCAGCCCGCCTCCAGACACGCAGGATAAAACCATGAGGAAAACGTTCCCTGCCCAGCCCTCGTGTGGCAGGACCTCCCGCATCTGCTCCCCAGTTCATGAAACACAAGCGTGGCGGCAGTTCCACGTGCAGCGACTCTGTTCCTCCAGTTCACAACATGGCACCTCCTCACTCAATGACAGGACTGCATCCTCCCTATGTGTGAGAGCAAATGGGGGTCCTCGCCCCCTTGACGGTGCCACACCTCGCTGACCCCACACCCTCGGCCCACCAAGCACCTGATACATACAATCATTCATCCTCATGACAGTCATGCAGTTGGCATCACAACCCCATTTGATGGAGGAGAAAATTTAGACTTGATGTTGTTCTGAGCACCCAGAATCTGAACCTGTATCTTCCTGTTATCAAAGCCATCACAGTTTCCAGAGCTCTCTTCTGAAATCCACTCTTAGAATAGCCTGTTCGTCAACTACTTAAGAATAAGGATGCTGAGGTGCAGAGAAGGGGAGGGGCCTGGTTCTGGCCAGCCACCCACCACAGGAATGCCCATTGCTAAGACTCCAGCCTGGGTCCCACCAGACAGCCACTCTCTCTAGGACTGTGCTCCACTTCCCTCGTCCCCTCCATTCACGAGGGGCGAGGGGCGCAGGCGCTTGAGGACCACATTCCTGCAACCCCTAGTGCTCTCAGTCTGAAGACAAAGCTTGGAAAAGCAGCGACTCTACCTACCCACCCTCCGCCAAGACCAGCACCACGCCTCCTCAGGACCCTGGCAATCATGGTGAGCCCAACAGCACGGCCCGGCTAACAAGTCTGCCCTTGGCTGTCAGATCCCTAATAACTTTTTTGAAGAATTTCCAAAGTGCTGGGGAAGCGAAATCGAACGTCTTGCCATTATCCCCAGGGGCCGGGCCACGGCGGCGGGAGCTCTGCCATCAGCACTGGGCTCCCGTGAGCCATCATCACTAAACGTGCAAGCTGCCTTCAATTTCGACTGGAGGGAGTGCGGCTGTGAAGGCGGTGAAACATGCATCCAAAGACATTTATACACTCGCCTTCGCCAGAACAGGACGAAGATTTCAAAAGCTCTGTAATAGTCTAATTCTCCAGTCAAAGATTCCACTATTTCAACAAATTGCAAGATGTCTTTAGAGGCCCGTGGTAGATCGCCACAGGTTACAGAATGCCAATATTCCATCTCGCCACATAAAAGGGGCAAGTAATTTGACCAAAATCTGAGTGGAAACACTGTTTTTTCCTGTTTAAAGCCCACAGAAGCCTAATTAGGAAACCAATTCTGGTGTCAGAGGTTTTCAGAGCCTGGATGGGTCCCCATGTCAAGAGCAATCTGCTTTCCAGGGTGGGACTGGGGTGACTAGGGGTCAGATGTACAATTTAAGGAAGTAACAAATCAGACATCATGATAAATAATGCTTTCATGCAATATTTTGAAAATTCAAAATTAATACAAAAAATCTATAATGAACCAAACAGCAAGGTTTCACATAAAGAACCGGTGTCACTGAGCTTTCCTTCAGCCTCAGGCTGTGCTGAGGCTGGGCCCTCGACGGCTGCTCTTTCTGAAGATGGTGCAACATGGCCGCCAAAGTGAAGTGCCATGCTGCCACTGGGGACCAGGAAGTCCAGGTCTCGAGGCCCTCTGCTCTGTGCCCTCGGGATCCCTGCCACCCTGGGTGGCGTGACCACACCGGCCTCCTCACCCCACGTCGGTCTGGATGTCCCGGCTGCTGAGTGGTCTTCATAAAGTGTAAGCGTAACCCGCGCACAGCTCTGCTTACAGGGCTCAGGTGCTTCTCCCGCACCAGCAGAGGGATGCAAGCGGGCAGCCAGCAGGTTGAATTCAGCAAGCGATGTATCTTGTTGGACTCCCTGGGTGTTTATGATTAAAATCGGTTGCTAGCATTTTGAAATTACGATTTCAGGAAAAATGCAGAAGTGTGACTTCTCTTAACAAAGAGATGTTTTGGCAACACTGGGGCCACTTTTCCCATGAGGGGGTGGAGAGACCACAAGCTCTCGGGCCAGTATCAGTCCCACCGTGTGCTGGGCACTACGCCAGTGCTGGGGACACCGCGGTGGTGCAAGTGACCAAACCGCCCGCCCTCGTGGAGTCTATGTTCTGATGGGACGCATGACAGAGCAGGTGAAACAGAAAGTCAGAAGATAACTAAGACAAAAAAAAGCAAAGCCGGGAGAGGAGATCCAAATGGTTGTCCATGGAGGAGAGGGGAGAGCTTTAAACAGGGTGGTTGGAAAAAGAAGGAAATCCGCCATCTGCAACAACGTGGATGGACCTTGAGGGCATTACGCCGAGTGAAAGGAGTCAGAGAAGGCCAAAAACCACGTGGTCTCACTTAGATGTGGAATCGAAAAGAACTGAACTCGGGCAGAGAGTAGAGTGGTGGCCGCCGGGGCCCGGGGGAAACGGAGATGTTGGTGGAAGGGGCAACTTTGCAGTTACGAGATGAGTGAGTTCTGAGGATCTAACGTACAGAATGGTGACTAAGGCTAACAATACTGTACTGTCTACTTGAAAGCCGTTAAGAGAGTAGACCCTCAGTGTTCTCACATCACACGCACACACGGCAATTTCACGAGGGGAGGGAGGTGTTAACTAACCTTACTGTGGCGATCATTTCACTCTATATGCATTAAATCATCACATTGTACACCTCTTCAACTCATACGGGTTATGTCAATAACCTCTCAACAAAGCTGGGGAAAACAGGGTGGTAGGGAAGGGCCCGCTAAGACACCCCTGGGCGTCTGAGTGAAGACCTGATGGAGGTGAGGGAACGAGCCCCATATGCAGGCCTGGGGCACCTCTGCTCACTCCCTTCTCTTGAGGAATGTCCTCAACTTCCTCACACCTCAAGTTTCTTCATCTATAAAACGGAAAATACAAACATATCTCCCCTCACAGGGTTGCTGGGTGGGAGAGGATTGAATGAGACACATATGTGGAGAGTGCTTAGCACAGTGCCTGTACAGAAAAGCTCAGTAAATGAGGCACCCAGCAACCCTGCCTCCCACACCACCACCCCCGCCGCCACCACCTCTGACTCCATCAATAACACTTCCACGCCGTGGCCTCCTGGAATCTCAGCACCACCCTCCACC